CGCCATACTCGTGAAGCTCGATATAGCAGCCCCCGAGGGCTGTGTGGCGCGGATCGGTCGGTTGGCGTAGTCGGTAATTTCCATTTCGCGTTCTGCCGGTGAGAATGCGCGCACCCTCCTCTCGTTACGCATTCATGCGTGGAATTGGCGTCTCTCTCTTGCCTTGCCCTAATAATTTGTTCCCGCACTTTGTTGTCCCCCCGTTTGTGCGCGCGAATTTACGTAACCATCCCCATCTTCTCTTCCTCCCCCCCCAATACTCATCACGCTCGCGCAAGCACGTATGCGCAGAATATTTCTTGCTCTTCTCAATATTTCTCTCTTCACGGTTGGAATATTAACACGTTTGTTTTAATTTGTTTAATTAAATTAAATGAAATTTGTGAAATATTCACATGTTTGTTTTATTCGCGTCAAAAAGGATCTGAATTAAAAGTCGGAACGTGTGTGTGCGTTTTTAATATTTTAATATAAAATATTGCACCAACAATTGCTCCACCGTCAATTATTTGGTTTTTATTAATTTATTGGAGTTATTCTAATTTCTTCCTCTGTTGTGTGTGTGTGGAAGAAACTTTTCGTGACGGTTTTTTTGGCACATGTGAGAAAACGCCAATGAATTCGCCCCGTTTCTCGCGCGAAGTTGAAACGCTTACGACGTACTCCAAGCGCGAAGTGTCCTTTTCCGAAACACAGAGCGGCCAATTCGAGCTGGACCGTCCGGTGTATCGAGGCTTTCTGAGCGCGAGCCGCGACTAGGGAAGCGTGCGATAGTAAAACGACAAGAGAGCTCCGCCCGTCGTGTACCGACCTCGGTAGTTTCCAGTGAGCGATGTCATCGTGTGTTGTGGCAACGTGACGCAATATACATGCTAATACGATAGCTTCAGCCGGTTCGTGAGTGTATGCGAATACCGGCGGAAAATGTCGCCGCGCGCGAGATCCTCTCTGCGCTTTGAAAACGCGCGACTATACACGGCGAAAGACGCGCCGCCGCGCGCGACGGTGACCGACTACCTACATCCACCCCCTACACACACGTCTATGAATTTCAAACGACTCGCCTTTCTTCCCGCGTAATACAACGCGCAAATCAAGTTTCGTAATTGCAAACTACCTTCCAAAACAAGGCGCGCCAACTCGCGGTTCCGCGCAACAACAACAGCAGTGTGTTGTCGGGCGCGTGTGTCGTTAAGTTCTCGTCGCGATTTTCTCCGCGACGCGTTGCGTCTCTCCTCGTCGACTTCAATCAACAACCACCGAATTGCGTGCTCACACATCCGTTCGTTGACCTTAGTCGACTTGTTTACGTTTATTTGTTCAGTCGTTCTGAACATTTCATTGTGCGTCCAACATTGCAAGTGATCTGTCAACTCTCTCGCGCGATACTCAATTCAAAGTTAATTGTATTACCACGGATTGTATTACAATCCGGATTATATACGTGTCGCGCACGTATACGTAGAGTGTCGCCAGTACGCGGCGGTGAATGAAAAAGTTAATAATATCGAGTATACCTATACTTAGTTCTTAACGGTGATACGCATAAAAGGCTTTATTGTTTTGGAGAGTTTAGAGAATTTCCGCGGGCCATACATATATGTATTCTCGTGCAGAGTCGAGGGAAACAAAGAGAGAGTTCTCTCTATGCGGTCGTGTTTACAGTGCGGGTTAGATGTCTATGCGAGTTGTAAGGACAAACAAGCCACTTCCCCCGACTATAATTAAAACAAGGTAGCAAACAAGTGCAAATCTAATATGTTTATCAATACGACTCTCACAAGAAGAACAAAGCGTTTTTGGAAAATAAATAAAACCAGACGAGACCCAGACGCGCGCGGAAAATACAAGTGAAATTGGTTTATTGTTACGTACATAATGTTTTTCCCGTTTCTCTCTCTCACTCTCTCTCTCTTTGTCGGCTCTTTCTCTCTTGTGTTAACTAGTTATTCTTTTTCTTTTTGCTTTTATTAAACGTTTTATATTATTTTGTTTTGCGGCGAAAGATTGCAAATTACATTCTCGCCGAAGACGCGCGCGGCGAGAACCATTTGCGAGGATTAACTTGGTAATCCTTTAAATGCACGGGACAATCCCCGACGTGGAGAGATTCGAAAGTGCGCGCGGGAACTAAATAAATCGGACGACGTCTTTAGCGCGCTTTTATCCGCGCGCGCGCGCACAGTGAGATTTATTAAACCTGTACATATATATATAAACTTTCCGCACACACATTTACTGTCTCAGACCTTTAAATGCTCAGATGGAGTTTATTTTATTCTAGCCTCTAGTAGTTTGGCCGAAATTCAAGCGAAATAAATAACCACCGCTATATAAGGTTCAAAAAGAAGAGAGAGAGAGATAGATAGATAGAGAGATAGAGAAAAAGAGGAAGGTATAAAATATTGTTGAAGTTTGGAACCGTTCCGTCGAGCGAAAGAAGTTATTTTTTCACTACTGTTGAGCGGTAATGTAAAGACAAAAAAATCACTTGTTACCAAATTATTTAATGCAATTGTTCCAAAAAGTCTTCGTCACTAGATTCTACGAAAAACATTCTGATTGGAGCCACAAGGAAAAGCTCGGATTCCATTTACCACTCGGCGCGTTTTACGCGCCGTTGATCGTTTGTTTTATTTTGGAAATGTGATCCTCACATTTCACCGAGGGGAGAAACCGAATCCTTGGCTTCCTTGGTAGGCTAATTACGCGCGGCACTTGCGTTATACGCGCGAGATCGGCGCGATCGATTTAGTTGAGATGCCACGGAGTGCCAAATGATTCCCAATGGAGCAAAACCCAAGCCTGGCAATCTGCGTGGATATCGCGTAATTATCCAGACTAGAGAGGATAGCGCGCACGTGAAATGCTATATATATATATATATGTATGCGCAGACGCGTTTTATGGTAATTACCTTGTGTACCTGTACTCCCTCTCTTCTCTGTCTCGTATGACTTCTTTTTTTGGTTTTTTTTTTTACGATTTCGACAATTCTCGCCATTTCTCGCCATGTAAGCGAAGATAAGAGTTTTTTTCCGAAAGGCACATCTTAAGACCGCATTTATCTTCGTTATCTCTTTACTTCAGGTTTCGAGAGCTTCGAACAACTTCTACCATTGACCAACTCGGTTGATCCCGAAAATCTCCGCGCCGTTTCTTCTCCTTCGCGCGCTCTCTAGTCCTCCGTCTCCGCGGTCTTGCATCTTTTATCAAGGAAAACAACATTGACAAAGTCGCGCATAAATCGCGACTAAGCGCACCTTAAACGCGCGTCCCGATACACACGCGCCCGTTGCTACTAATCCGTATTAATCGTCGGTCATTTATTAGGAAGTCAGCAATGGAGGTGCCGCGCAATTCCGCACCTGGTGCGCACTCTCAACCCGCAATCAATCCGTGTGTGCGCGCGCGCGTTTCCTTCTTACATCCATAAATCTCGTCGCTAAACTGCAGTTGTGTGCATCCGCAAGAAGACAAAGCCGCGCGCGATCATGGGAGCGCGACAGTTGCCGCGAAGTGCTTCGAAAGACGCGTCCAAACTCGACGATCTAGTCTTCTTTCGATCGGAAACGGTCTTTTCTCAAAAGTTTCGACGATAAGAGAAGTATTGTCGCTTACGTTTTCGGAAACACGCGTTTGCGATTTCAAGTTTTCGCGTGTGAAAGTTTTTTTTAAAAACGCGACGGGCACAGAAAAGAGAGATTATTCACAAAAAAAAAAAGAAAAAAAAACAAAGGAAATCTCGGTCTATCTTAGTTTACTATTTAAGAGCGAGAGAAGAGTGTAATTTTTTCTCACACCGGAACACAACTCGCCGCATTTCTCTTTCTCTACACCCGCGCGCGCTCTCGAAAAATCTTTTTTTCTTTCCGTCTCATATATCTGAGTGCTAAGATCTGCTCGTTTTCCGAGCGCGCGGAACTCGTCGCCGCGCCGCAAAGATCTCGACGCTCTTCATCCGAACTCTTGGAGAAGAGCCGCGCCAATGCACAATCGGATCTCGAGAGAATTCCTCCGCTCTCGGAAGGAGACTTTTTGATCGGGCTCTCTCTCTCTCTCTCTCTCTCTTCTCACTCCCCCTCCCCTTTTCCAGCTTTCGTTATTATTGCGCGACGAAACAAAGGTATAAGCGCGGTTGAGCGCAAAAACGACCGTAAAGACGCGGGGGCGCTTAATGGCGGCTGGCGCGTCGCCAAATCGCGCTCTGCGGGGTCGAATGCACCGATTGAAATGTTCATTACCGCCGCAAATCATCCCGCGGCCGATCCCGCCGCGGGAAGGGGAAGAGAGAGGAGCCTCTGTACTATATATCCGCCACTTCGTATCTCTTTCAGCTCGCTCAACCGCGCCGGAAACGAATCGCCGCGATAAATCCGCCTCGCTGTCGATTCTTTCTCGAGAGGAAAGAGAAAGAGAGAGAGAGAGAGAGAAAGCGCGCGTCGTTTCTGAGATGATGGGAATGATACGTCCGGTCTTGCTCGTATTACTGTGATTTTCTCTCGCGCCAACACTCGCGAGAAAAGAAAATAATTCTCGTCATATACACAGTTTGTCCGGAAAGTTCCCGGACTGATTTTTTCTAGCGCGGGTAAGCGGCGCTATCGAGCGGTCAACGCTGGAACTACTTAGTANACCTTGAAGTGTAAACTTGTTTAATAAACCATATCTTTCATTTTCGATTTTTAATTCACGTAGTCCGGGAACTTTCCGGACAAACTGTGTATATCGCGCGAAGAAGAGAAAGATACGAACGAGTTTATTCGCTCGCACGCTATTGCTATTCACAAGAAACATTGTTTTTTCTCTTTAATCTAATCTCTCTCCCTCCGCGTCGCAAATTTTCCGATCGATTTTTCCCTCACGCGGTCTTCCAAAAAAAAAAAGAAAGAGTTTTCCACGAATTGTTCGACATCGCGACGATAATTCGCTTAAAGAGAGCTGCGGCAGAGCAAATTGGCCGATTTGTTGACCTGTCGTTGTGTGTTTCTTGTTTTCAGACAAAGCTCCCTCGGAAGCGTCGTTCAGAGGAACCGAATATCTCACGATAGATCTGAGCAAAGGACAACCGGTGTTCAGCACGCAGGAATCCATAAGTCTTCAGTTCAAAACGAGACAACCGAATGGACTTTTGTTTTACTCCGGTAAGTATATTATTTTCTATCTCCACATACCGCTGTAATACGAGTAATTGATTTTGTCGATCGTATTAACTTTTTTTATTTTTTTATTTTTGAAATAATCTTATTTTCGCAATTGTGGATTTCCGTGAAGCGTCTTGGTTCGGCGAACGAATAAAAATGTAAAATCGTGTTGAATTCGTGTATCTTCTTTTCTAAACGATTATTGACAATCGCTAAAGACAATTGTCGATTATTAGTCGCGATATTCGCAAAAATAATTCGATTCGGTGAAAAACGCGCGACTGACCGCGGAAACGCGCGATCAATCGGAAACATTACGACGAGAAGATGTACAATGGAGCTGGGCCGTCTAATCGAGTAACTCGCGAACGGTCGAATATATATATATCTCCTTCGGAGATAACGCGGGATAGACAATGGCGCGCTACCCAAAGGACAATGAACCGCATATTAAAACCTCCTTGCGATCGCGCTCCTTTCTCTCTCGCGGCGACATTATAGCCAATTAGAACGTTCCAGTCGCGCGGAACCTGGTTCAACCAACCAGAAAAGTCATGCGTCTTTCTTCTCTCGTTTTGTTTCTTCTCTTCCTCCGTTCTTATTGTTCCTCCTTTTATGGCCTCACATCGGGCTCTTGCTTTTGACCTCGATTAATCCCAGATTCTCCAAGAATGTTTCGAGCAAAGTTTACGCGCGCGAGATAACGCGCGCGACGTTTCTCAGCTCGACGTTTTATCGAAAAGAATTCGACTGAATTATTTAATTCAATTTGTTACTTATTTTATTTACTTTTTTGTATTATTTATTTTACATCCGCGATTACTATTCCCGATAATTAAAGACTTTGATTTTCAATTGAAACATAATCGCGGAAACGCAATATACCGTGTGCAGGAAGTAATAGTAAAACTTCTCGAAGCTTTCCGAGCTTTATTTAAGCCGTACATACACACATACACACACACACACACACACACACACACATGTACGCAGCTTTCTAACACTCTCGGTATACAAATTCCTTAGTTTATAGCATACTTACGTAATGAAGGGTGAAATCAGCGCAGCCAAGACGGCAAGACTGCCGCACCATCCGCAGTAAAAGGAGGAGTTTGCACCTCCGCTCCGGTTGCAGCGCGGCAACTCGAAACCTATATATCGGAGCCGCAATGCTGTGCTGCCACACACGCTCGCGCGCGCTCACACACACACACACACACACACACACACATACTAACACACACGTAGCACTCGTTTCTCTACCTCGCATCCTCTGCAACACGCTCGTCCCAGGTCGCTCATTTGTTCTCAAGAGATAAGCTATAATACGGCCGTAACCGTGCATTTGGATTACGCGTATTTTCGCGAGACGCAATAATCGTCGCCACGCGTAATTCTCGTTCTTTGAAATCGCGCGCATCCAAGCGCTCCTCTGCGGAGAAACGTTTTCTCCGGAGAAATAAACTTGCCTTCGACGGTTCCGCGCGCAAACACGTCCGATCCGCTCTCGCGTCGTACTACTTGCTATTTCGCTACGTTGCTTCTTCTCTCTGTTTTCTCCTTCACCTTTCGACGCGCCGAATCGTCGCGCATTAAATTCTCGTTGGGATTGTTTCTCTCGCGGAGAAATAATTGTCTGACGTGTAATTGCGTGCAAAGATCTATCTCTGTCGATTAACAGGCGATAAATCTCTCTGATCTGACAATCGCGAGAGAGACCCGATTTTTAAGAATACCCGAGTGATAATAAATAAAAGAAATATATATTTTCAATTGTGATTTGAAATATATTTTGAACGTATTTAATATATTTATACTGTTTCAATAAAGTACATTTATTTTATTAAAACAAAGAGAAAAATATATAATATGTATTACGTGTTATATTTTACGTGTTATATTTTACGTGTTATATTTTACAAACGACTTTTTAATTATTTAAATATTGAGTCTCAGAAGCGACCCAGACGCAGAAATAGTACGTCTTTTTTTAAAAGAGATTGAGGATTCTAACTTGAGAGAGAGAGAGAGAGAGAGAGAGAGAGAGAGAGAGTTTGTTCACATAAATAATGCATCTGCTCAACGTGAGATTACGCACGCGCGCGAACATACATCGCGCGTTAATTGATTATTACATCGCTGAATCTGAAACAGTTCGGTTCGCGTTTTCTCGCGTTGATATACGCAATATATATTTGTTATATATAAATCGCATTTATCTTGCAGAGCGGTTTGTATTGGAAAATAAACCATTAGTCGGACCGAGCGATGTGATCGCAACGGAAACGCGCCCGGTTCCGATTTCTCGCCGAACATCCGCCGCGCGCGCTATCTCCACGGCGCATAACGGGGCGCGTTATCGGTGAGGGTTTTCAGATAGAGATCCGCGCGCGCGCGCGCGCTTTCACACGCGCATTGTGCAATGTAAACGAACGCGGTCGCCGCGCCGCGACGAACGAAAGCGCGCGCGGCGATACGCGCGTAATGCACTTAGGTGCGCATGCAAATGCGCCGCGCCGGCGGCCAATTAAGTCCGAAGTGCTGTCTGCATCTTTTATACGCTCCAGTCCCGAAGCCCACCCCGCGAGATAATTAGTATGCGGTCACAGCCCGATTTTAAAGCGACTGCGGCAATATCAGAGGGTGGAGTAGGAGGGGGACAGAAGGGGGAACGGCGTGGCGGCGTTTGCGAGATTCACGAGCGTAACGACGCATCCAGCGCCTGTTTGCGTTGCCGGTGAGCTTTTAAGCGTCGTCCCTTTCTGCAATCGCAAAACCAGAAAATAAATTTCCACGTGACGGTTACTCTTGCGGACGCGCGCACACACACACACTTGCGCGCGCGCCATTCTCTTAAACATATATATCCGGAAATTTTATCTCACATCAGTGCGCCTCGAGCATTTTCCACCGTGTATTCTGCGCGTGTCGTGACGAGAAAATACACTTCCTCTCTCTATCTATCAGCAGAATCGTCTTAATCCTCCAACTCGTTACGAGCGCAACGACGTAATCCGCGGAGGATTTCCAGTTCGAGCATGGAGCACAATTATTAACGACGATCGCTGGATATTTTAACCGGTCGCGCTCGAACCAAGTGCCCCTGAAACTAATGGTTAAGCGGTCGTAATCGATTTATGCGCTTCGCACTACATAATCCAGGCCGGGCGAGTTCGACGACACAAACGTGTAGAGCGAGCGAGGAAAACCGATGCGACATCGTTCCCTCGTGGGAATTAAAATGTTGCGCGTGTACTGCTGTTGAAGTTTTTGTTTTTTTAAGCAACGTGCGTGCAACGTTTAACGCGTCAAAAGAGATCGCCGGCTCGACGAAACAATAATGTCGCGTCAGAACGCGAACGCAAGTGAGACGTAAATTGTGACGCGCGTCCGAGCCGAAGGATCCCTGCGAGGATTATTATTTTTTTTTTCCGACAATTTTTCGACGTCACTCGTTGTCGCGCGCACATTAATTCTCAACAACGCACACGGACGTTGTTATTTTGCGCTCTTTGAAAACGACGAGACGAGAATTTGCCCGTGCATCTTTCACGCGCGTCCATCTCGCGCCGTGACTTCATTAGTCTCATTTTTTAATTACAGGAGAGGGTGATGATTATCTCACCGTGTCGCTGAGAGACGGAGGCGCCGCGGTCGGGATGACGTTGGCCAAAGGAAGATTAGATCTGCACATAAAGCCGGCCAGGGTGCGGTTCGACGATAATCAGTGGCACAAGATCATCGTTCACAGGAAAGTCCAAGAGGTAACAAATCGGCGCTTGTTGTTCGACGTTGTTTGTTTTGTTAATATTATTATTTTTAAAAAGTAGAGAAACTTAACAGCTTTTTTTTTCAAAAATTGACTTCAAAGAATCTGGAAGAAACGTTGTCAGAACGTTGTTTTGAAATATTTTACAAACGAGTATGTAACAATAATATCTAAAATAATTATTTTGCAACGAATATCGGGCCAACTATCGGGCAATGTTTTTTACTCATCCGAATACCAAATAGTTTTATATAAAAATAAAAAAAAAATTAAAAAATAGACTGTTGCCACCTCAGCCGCGGAATTTTAGTTTTACCATGCTCGAGTATCTAATTTGATGTTTTTAAATAAACGATCAATAATTTTTAAATAAATGTTTTTTTTTTAAATAGCAGAAACGCGCATTTGAAATTCGAACAGTCTACGACTTGTTTGCCTTTTAATATTCGCCGAATATTATTCGTTGCACCTCTACCAATAATAATAATAGCAATATCTAAACAATTACTGCGACGATATTTTGCGTACTACTAAAAATTAAAACGGTTTTTTCACAAATAATCCCTTTCCGGATACGCGTTAAATAAATATTGAACGGATAGACGGAGACGATATCGAATATGGAGAATTGAGTTACCTGAGAGACAATAATAATATGTAATTAAGACGACATTTATTCGACGCTCGGGCGAGAGTGCGGATGTTTCACGTGTCTAAGTTTACTCACTTCCATCCTTTGAATGTCCAATTTTAATGGCTGGAAAGTGGAAAATCCGATACACTCCGAACGCTCTGGGGGGCGTTAAATTTTCACATTGTCGTGATCCGAATAGATCGGCGAACGGACGTGAGAGAGCAATTTCGTTAATGCCGCGGACATACCGAACGGTATTCATTGCGCATTACGCGTAGTAGAATAGATAACGCAATTATTTGCGCGCCATCCGTGAGCGAGTTTCCGTGAATCGCGCGGCCGCGCGCGTGCGCGGAAAACGACGACGTGAGTTTATCAATTTATCACCGCAAAATATCGGTGTCCCTAGCCCCGAATTGCATCTGTCCGGTCAATTACAAGTAAACCAACACACATTGTGCTCCGTATATATGCCCTCGAGCGCGACGCGGAATAAAAATTTAATCTCTTTTCCGTTTGACCGCGCGCTGCTGTTTACGTCATTTTCTGGCTACGCGTTGTCGTTGACATGAAAGAGACAGTAAACGACGAGATTTTTTTCCTAAAATTCAAAAAGATTTTCAAACTCGAAAGATCGATCAAATCCCCGCAACGTGTGCGCTTTGTGACCGTTCGATTTCTCGCGTTTGATTTGCAAACGCGACGAGTGCGCAGTTTGTTTTTGCAACAATTTTGAGGAAGAAAAACGTCGACCTGCCGCAAAGCACCTGCAAATCACGAGCAAGAGCTGCTGCGCGCTTTACGATGACATTTTGTACATGGAATTTTCAGGGCTTATCTATTTCTGCCCCGACCGTTCGTTATATACCTTCTGGTGCGCGCTCAGAAGAGAATGCGCCGCGCCACGCTACGGACGCGATTTAAGGGCTGCGGATGTGCAACGCGTGAATTAGGTCGAGGGAGGAGGGGGGAGGAGAGATAGCGTATAGAGCTCGACCGAAATGTCCGCCGCTGCTTTGGATAATTTTCCTGAGCACACGGTGTTCGTTTGAGTCGCTTCCGCAGCTGTGTAAACGAGGAATCGATTCTCTCCACTCCCTCCTCCCTCCCTCATCTCCCTCCGGAGAATGTGCCGGGGGATTGTTCGCCCGCGGTTACCCCAGTGAAATGTATGCCAAACATTTATAATAAGGATTTTACGTTTTTGTGTGCTCTTATCAGATTTTTATACTTAAAAAAAAAAAAAAAAAAACGCGCGACATGAGAATTTTTGTATATTCAATGACGCGTCACTCTGAAACACATTCAAAGGGCGCTCGCTAAAATCTAATTCAGAGGAGACAAAGATGTTTCGACGCTCATTGTCGGTTTGTTGTTCCGGTGACAAGGGGGTTACAATTTTCGAATTAATATATAAAAGTTTGAAACTCACTTTCAATTTTTACAAAAATACGTTTATTAACAGTTTTTGCAAAGAATTCGGACAAATATGTATTTGTATTATTTATATTGATCAGCCGAATTTATATTGATTGATGGCTGAAAATGATCAAAATAAACTGATCCATATTTTCAAAAGTTAATAAATTTAATTTTCTACTAATCACTATCGATGGACCGGAGCTGTCAGGTCAGCGATTTTCACACTTGAAATTCGGAGAAATGTTTGTATTATTTACACAGATAGGCTGTAGATTATCGAAATAAAATGATGGAAAGGAATCCATTTTTAAAAAATATAAATTTATTTAATTTTAACCAGCCACTCTTCTGGATGAACCAGAGTCATCAGATCGATTTTTTGAATTCTCGTCTCATTGTCATTAAATCGCCGAGCGATTGAAATTGTTGCGAGAGCGCGCTCCCAAAAAGTTCGTAAAAAAATTCTCGCTCACACAGTCTCGATATCATATTTGATCTCGACGACGTGCAATTGTTAACTAATGTTAATAACGTAAATTAATCAATACCTTGATCGTAACCACGTTACAGGCAGGGTGTGCGACATTAAAGCCGCGTTCAAACACATCTATTATTCATTATCGCGTTCTAGTTATCTCTCTACTTACGGCGATGAGTGGCGATATCTCTCTACACGGCGGCGTTTCAATATGCATCGTGTACACACACACATACACACGCGCGCGCGCGTTCTCTCTGCGCGTCCTATCGCGTTACAAAGAGAGCGCGTGTGTTTCGCGATGTATCTTGGCGCTCAAAGCGCCAAGTAATTGTGCTCGTTTCAATAACGAAATGTAAATACCAGATGGTTTGGTGTACAGCGCAAGCATTGGGCATAATATTATTTCCTCTGCTTTCGTTTCACGATGCACGTTTACGGCGACGGCGCGCGCGAGCGTAGTTTCACCGTAAAAAAAAAAAAAAGAAAAAGAACCGGAGCATTTATCGCATAAAGCACGCACGCGCTCGCTTTTTATTCGATATTATATGCCCGCTTCGCGGAAAGTGCCGACCCCGTAATACTGACGTGACCATTCATACGAGTCTGGAATTATTAATAATGGCAGCTGGCGCCGCGCGACGAGAGAGAGTGAGAGAGAAAGAGAGAAGAGAACGCCTTCGAATTCATCGTACACTGCATTACGGGACGGTTAAATTTCCAGAAATTACCGCGTGTCCAGCGACGTAAAAAAAAAAAAAAAAAGCCACGTCCGAACGAACGCGTGACAAATACTTGCACGTGTCTACGTAATAAGTTTGAAAACAATCTCGTGAGAAATTTGCATCGTGTTTTTTTTTTTTTTTTTTTTTTTTATGGAGACTCGGCGGTGATAAAGAAGAGTGAGGAAAAAAAAAAGAAATTTGCATTCACGAAGATTCATCATCATCCGCGCCGTCATAAACAAAAATTGCCGCGCGACATTCTTTTATAACTTTTCTGTTTCATGAATATGCCGCGTTACACAGCGTAACGCGACATCCGAGATCACGCGGCGGGTGTATATTCAGAGAGCAAAGAGAAGGTCCTCACCAACCCTTCGTGTTCATTCTCAAACATTGTCCTACGACCCGGTGCTGCGCGCGTGTAAAGGTTAATGCCGTCGCAGGTGAGGAGAAACAGGAAGAGACGAAGGGTGAGTTAGAAGGGTGGGAAAAGAGATTGGGTGTCTAGACACCTCTTCTCTCTCTCTCTCTCTCTCCTCTCTCTCTCTCTCTTTCACTTTCTCCCTCTCTCTCTTCCCAGGTTAAACCTGGGCCTTCGGGGAGCTACGAGCTGCGCAAGGATCGACTGTAGTTGCGGATTGCCTATTACGTTTCTCCCGCGAGCGTTTACACCCGCCGTGCGCCCGCACACACGGACGCTATTATCCCGCCAATGGCTTAACCATACAGATGCCACGAGCGCTTTTGCCGATATGTTGCACGTGTGTAACGGACGAATGTAATTGTTTTTATTTCCCGCGGAGTTTTCGCGTTGAAATTTTTGCGACACATTTGCCAAAGAGAGAAAGAGAGAGAGAGAAAGAGAGAGAGAGAGAATATTTTTCATTGCGATTTCGATGAAACAGATAGGCACGTAATTACTCTGTCACTTTTTTTTAGCAGATATTGTAAAGCACCGCGTTGCAATACCAAAACCATTTTAACAGATTGTTACTGCAACAAAAAAAACTTCCCTCAGTTATGTTAAATCTGAGATTAAATATGCGAATGACCTTTTTTCGTCGCAGAGTTATTTTCGATAAATATTACGTACGACACATGTGATGTATTTAAAGGAAAGAATGTGTCGTTACTTTGTTTCTTCCGTAATTTTACTCGAGCTTGGACAGTTTTTGCGGAAAAAAATTTAGATATGCAAAAGGTTAACGTATATTTCAAGACTCGAGTCACGTTCCGGAATCGAGCAAGTATATGTATATACTGCAATAGTCTCGGGGACTATTTTTCATACTCGCTCAAGAATGTCTCAAACTCGGAAACGGAGAGGAAACTGAGATCCGGCTGGCTGACGTCACGATGACACGCACGAGTGCGCTTAGTGCACGGCACTTCGCGGTAACGTTCGTTAGCATCGACCAATATACACGGAATGTACACCCACTACTCCCCCGCAGCGATGACGTTCCGCATGCGAACTTCTGAGATTTCAATCGATTACGTCGCCCGCCGCGAACGCCATAAATTAATCCCCTTAAACGCGATCGTCCGATTTCCTTTCTCGAGAGATAAGCTTTATCGACCGACGTCACGTAGGTTTTATTAAATTTAAGATAACGCATCAGACGCGGCCATAATTCAAATGGCCCGCGATGAAAATCTCGATAAAGGGATGCTACATCGTCCAATAAAATTGGAACATTCGACGAATCACGCGCTTGCCGATATAATTTTATATA